CTGGACGAGCTTAAACGCCTGTCTCCTTGTGAAGCTCAGGAAGAGCTTAACCGCCTGTCTCCTTGTGAAGCTCAGGAAGAGCACCCTCACTGGAACCCAGTCTCTGGTCTGCAGCTCTGGAGGAGCTGCATCTCAGGAAACCAGTCTCAAGCCTGAAGCTCTTGGAAAGCCTAGCCAGCTAATCTGCCCTGGTGAGCCAAGCCGAAGATTTCTACTTGGATGCAACCTGACGACTTCTCTGTGGAGTTTCCCTAGAGGTTCCCATGAAGATCTTCCCCTGTTGTTCCCTGCTGTGAGCTGGAAGCTCAAATCCTGCCTTCTCCCTTTCCCTGCACAGACCCCAGTGAACCAGCCCCCTGCCTGTATTGTTTTCATTATAATCCATGTGCTTGTCTTTAAATAAACTCCTTGGACTTTTACCAGTGCCTCCGTGAGTGTTCTGCATCTTGGGCTTTACTCAAAGAAAACCCATCATGACACCAACTAACTAACTAACTAACTAACTAACTAACTAACTAACTTCTTGCGGGCGTTTATTGGTTACCTTCTGGGGACAGGCCAATTTCCCAGGAATATGCCACGTTATAGGGACTCACAAGTTACTTGTAAGTAAGTATTGTTTTTTTTATATAGCACCTTTCGCAAACATAGAGGTCAAAAAATGCTTCATAAAATTAAAATACAAATAAAAATACATTTACAGTCGCAAAAGACATGGTTATTAAACAACCCCTAATCTACTAGAATTAAAATGCTTTCTTAAACAAATAGGTTTTCAGTTCGCTCTTAAAAAATCAACAGAATCAAGCAAGCGCAAGGGAAGCAGGAGATTGTTCCAGAGTGTGACCGCCTGAAAGGAGCAATCTCCCTTGGTCCTGTAACAAACACGAGGGCCCATGAGCAGGTTGTGGTCCTGAGACCTCAGCCTCTGAGAGGTGGTATAAGGGCACAAAAAGTCTCTAATGTAGGACTGACTGTGAATTGTCTAAAGGTCAGCACCAGGATTTTAAACTGGAACCGAAAAGACACTAGGAGCCAATGAAGAGCTTTTAGAATCTGCGTAATATGAGCCGTTCTGTTTGTATGTGTCAGTAACCTCGCCGCAGAGTTCTGAACCTGCTGAAGATGAAACAACAACTTTTTGTTTAGACATGAGAAAAGACTTTTACAGTAGTCTAAACGGGAAGACACAAAGGCGTGGATAATCATTTCAAGATACTCTCAATTGTAGGAGTAAACTAATGAGTAGAGGTTCTTTTCTGGTTTTGGGGGTTGAGTTAAGGATTGAGGTGTGAATTAAATTTGGGTTAGGGTTAGGTTGGTAATTGGTAGAAGTAGGGTAAGGATACAAATTAATGCAAAATGAATGGCTGTCCATGGAAAGTCACTATACAAAGTGTGTGTGTGTATTCAATGATAGATTCATAAAGGATTTCTAAATAGACAGCATATACAATTTAAAGTAAGTATGATAGAACAAAAAGCATCCAAAGCTGTATCTTGAACTACAAGCTAAACCTGAAGCTAACAGTTTTCCAGGCTGTTTTCAAATATCAAAAGGTCCAGATTAGGCCCTAATCCTTGGATTCCTAGAGATTCATATAATTCTCTGTAAAGACCTATTTCAAATCAAAGCCAATCCTGAAAATTCCCTCTGCACCTTTGAACAATCTAGTTAATTTTGTTTTATGGTGTTTCCTACTTCACTTTTCTTGCTTCTTCTCATCGTCCTCTTCGTTCTCTTCCACTTGTCACCCATCATCTGCCTCTTCCTTCTTTCCCTCTTCATGGCTAACTCTTCCCTTCACATCTTAAATCGATGTGACCATCAGTGTTGGTAAGGAGATCTTAGTGCAGTGACCAAGTGTTGATCAGGGGTGAGTATTGGCATGGGGGTCGTGATACGTATCACAATACTTGGATCACGATACAATATAATCAGGATATTGCAATATCACTGTATATTGACATATTTTTCCCAGCTATCAAAATAAAATGAATAGATAAAAAGCAAGTGACGTATATGTTCATCAGAAGATACTGATAGTTATTTTGATATCTATGTTGTTTGGGGTTTGAGTCAGTCGCCGTCTTCCACTGTGACTACCTCAATTACAGATGTGGCGTTGCGTTGCACAGCAAAGAGTGCCATCTTTGCCGCACAGC